AAAAAAAAAAAAAAAAAACCCAAAAAACATCATAATTTAATCCAACCCAACAAAAAAGAAATGAAAATTTAATACAAAAAAGGGCATATCCCTCTTATTCTTCGCGATGTTCACCAAGCGCCAAGCGACTGCAATTCGAATCTGCAGCCAAAAGGACGCAGTCGAGAGGTCGGAGACGACATTCAGAATAGAACATGAAATTTTATCGGAACAAAAAAGGAGAGGACTTTCGACAGTCCCAACGACCTCTCTCTCTGTGTCTAAGTTTCTCACTCCTCCCCGTTGATTCGATTTCTAACAGGGACTCTTTCTTCTTCTTCTTCGCTACAAGCAGCAACAACCAATTGGAATTTTCTTCCCAGGGCAGCGAAGCAGACAAAGGCGATAATGGATGCAGCGAGAGTGGTTGAAGGCAAGCGAGGACGATGGAAGGTTTTAGCTGGTTCCGTTGGTTTCGGGGTCTCTCGCTAAGACCGGCTAGTGAAGCCGTTTGTGAAAGCGAGTCCCACCTAGTGCCATTAATGTTAATCCCGCAAGCCACCAAACACAAGACTACACTAATACTTAATCCAATCCAATCCAGTGAAGATTAAGAAGGTTAAACAAACACTCCCTTAAAGTCGTAGTAAATTTCAATGTAAAATTATGATAAGAGTAACGTTACTCAATTTTTACTCAATTTTAACGTTACCAAATTTCTAGGAAGAATAAAAAAAGACACGAAATGATGACAAAATATCGATATTAAACCACATGTTAATTGATGAATTCTGTAGATGAGGTAGACATCGAAGTGATTGGGTTCATGACTAGTACAACCCTGCCAGGCATGCATGGTAAAACGACAGCAAAGGGCAGTCCTTTTTCTTTTAACGTTTATATGGTGTGTCCAAAATTTACAGATAAAGGTGGGAGTGGTACTGGTGAATGCGCCAACGCGGAAAAGGAATAAGATACTGTAGAGAATATTGTTGAAGTTACTAATTCACTGATCCAGTACGACGACAAATTTTTAATTGTGATGGAACACGGTGATACATTATGTATTTTTATGTAAGTAGTGAAAAATTATATATTTTAAGTTATTAATATTTTGGCACATATATCCCATTATTTATATAATAACACGTGGTATACCATCCTATGTGACAATCACATTGAAAAATCTCTCCAATCAAATATAATTAATTGTAATTAATTTGTTATTAGCGACAATAATACAAAGATTGTTGACTTATTTTAAATTAAGTACCAGCAAACCCTTAACTCAACTATTTCGACTGATAAAAGTGTCGAGGATTGTTCTGTGGTTCTTCACCTGATAGTAACTACTACTATTCTTCATCCTTCTTATCAAAGTGCATCAAATACCTTAGAAAAATGTTTGACAATGATATTACTTTAGTCTAAATAAAGCTTTTCAATTGCACTGTACAAATGAATAGTTTTTGGACCTCAATTTCACTCTATTTATGGACATGCATTTGCTCTAAGGATTTCGGCTGGGCTTTTTTTTTTCTTTCAAAGTTTAGTTGTATGGGCTTTGCGGATTTGGGCTATGACTGGGTTGGTGGGTTTTGTTTGTGGTTGGGTTTTTCGAATGGATGGCCGACACAGGCAGGCCTAACCTGCAACGATGCCAGCGAGAAGAGATGGGAGGTGTCGTGTGATGCGAGAGAGAAGAGAGAGAGGAGGAGGGGTCCGATGGCAGAGAGAAGAGAGATGGGTCGTGCGATGCCAGATAGAAGAGAGAGGAGGACTCCTGGAAGGAAAAGTTGGAGGAGAGAGTGAGGGGTAGGATGAGCAAAGCAATAGGTAGGGCTGCCCGGAATTTGGGTTTTGTTTTTTCTCGATGAGGTCTACTTATAGCAACTCCAGCGTGAGCTGGTGCTCGGGGGGAAGGAGAGTGAACAGGGCCAGATAGCCCGATTAAAGTGCTCCAGCGTGTGGGAGCCCGAGGGACAGGCCTGTGAGGAATTGCCAGCTCGCTCGCCCGAGTGGATGTGACGCCAAGGCTGACGTCATCCTAACGTCAGCCCAATTTTATATATATTTTTCTGTCAGGTGCGTGCACCTCACCCGCGCATGGGGGCGCGTCAGCCGACACCTTTTTAGAAGCCGGGGCCTGCTTCGCAATATGCCGATGTTACCGTTGGGAAGCCACATGGCTTCCCACGACCCGTTCAACGACTCTTTAAATTGGACCGTTAAATTTGCAACGGTAATAAAAATAAAAATAAACTTATTTAATATTAACCGTTGGATTTGAGATCAACGGTTGATATTATCTGCTTTATAAATAAATAAATAAAAGAAAATATAGTTTTAAAATTAAGGAAAGTTACCGTTGTGACACATGGCACAATCTGGAGTGTTGGAATTCAATTTTTTTTTAAAATCCAACAGCAGAGATTAATTAGTTCAATAAAAATTTTAAAAAAATTTAAAAAAATCTGAAAATAAATCTGAATTTTTTTAAAAAAAATTGTTTTTACTTTTCTATAAATACCTTATCATTATCATCTACCTTACACCACAATTTCATATTTTCTCAACTACTTTCAATCAAATTCATATCTTTCTCTCAAAGCTTCAATCCAATTTTTTTCAACAAAATGATTACTGATGTAGGTGCAAATTGATCGCTTCTTGAAGATGTTGCGTTGTATACTAGCTGTGTTGAAGTTACTCATAGTTTGCTTGCGGGTAATAAGATGCAGTTGCGAGAAATGTGGAGTCTTATTCTTGAGAAAATGAGTGTGAAAAGAACCAAAGAATCGATGTCCAGTAGTTGGAAATTACTTAGCCAATCGTTTAGTATGTTGATAGACGCCTTGGCACAAGGTAGTACTAATCTTCGAAATAGGGAAAATTACATGGATTAGGTAGCAATATATTATTTATTTGTTTGTACTATACCCAAATTTACATTATAATTATTTGTTTGTATTATTTATTTGTTACCTACTTTCATTATAATTATTTCTTATCCCGCATTGTGTAGCAACTTCAAGCACAAGCTTGGTATGGTGCCAAAACCAAAAGCAAAAAGAAATCATTCAATTGGTGGGAATGTTGGAATATTGTCAAAGATTGTCCTAAATTCAGAGTTGTGCATGTCAGTCCAGAAGTTTTCATGAACAACACCTATTTACACTCTACACCCGATCATGGCTCGCATGTTCATGAAGATGATGTAGAAGAAGTGCCTGAAACACCCTTCCCTAAACAAGCGTCGGGTTCAACCCGTTATCCAATTAGGCCTGAAGGTAAGAAGGCTTCAAAGAGAAAAGGGAGTGCTTCCAAGAATGATTATGCAAAATACATGGAAGAACATGCTCGCCAAGGTGAATTGACTTTGGCGCGGGAAATGGTGAAATTTGAGGCTGATAAGGCTAGAGAGGAGGCAAAAACTGCAGCTATTGAGAGAGAATTTCAAGCTAATCAGAGAGAAAGATAGATACTTAGGCAAGAAGGGGAATAGGTTAGAGAAGAAAGAATGGCTCAACGAGATTATGAAATTATGAACATGCCTTTAAAAGGGAAGTCTCTAAATTCTAAATATTTTTGGAAGTCGGAGAAAGCGGACGTGGTGCGAAGGAGGCGTGCAAAAGAAGATGGTCCTAGCACGACAAGAGAAGATCATTCTAGCACCACAAATTGGTTAAGTGATGATGAATATAGTAGTTTTTGTAATCAGAGCCCATAATTTTCCAATCAATTTGGGTTGTAATTTATTATTTATTGAATAGAGTACTTTATGTTGTTTCCAATTTATTGAATTTAGTACTTTATTTAAGGTGAGAGTAAATTTATTTAATTTGGTAAGTTATTTATACTAAGAGAATATTTATTCAAATGACAAAAACACACCAAATAAAATTACATAAACATACCAAATAATAAAAAACTCTCTAAAAATGAACTAAAAAAAACACACCAACTAAAATTAAATAAACACACTAAATGAACTTAATTATCTTCAGCTTGTTTCAATGCTCATTGGTGCTCTATCAAGTCATTTAGCCGAACATTGTGCATATATGGCCTTTGAAGTGCAGCATATCGTTGAATGACCAATTCATTGTAACGTCCATCCCTTTCTAATGGCTCATGTTGCACGGGTTCTTCGGTGGCGTCATGAGCACAATATATACGTGTTCTTGAATTGTTCATCGTGTCTGGCTCATATTATTCAACGGCATCATAATCGTACTCATATTCCACAATCATATTGTGAAGAATAATGCACGTCAATATGATGGATTGAAGCAACTATACATCAAACATTCTGGCAGCACCCCTGACAATCGTCCATCGAGCTTGGAGGATACCAAAACAACGCTCCACATCCTTCCTGCACCCTTCTTGACAGCTTGCAAAGTGTTTTTCCTTTGTACTTCGTGGACGTGGCACTGTTTTGACAAACGATGCCCACCTTGGGTAAATGCCGTCTGCTAGGTAGTATGGCCAATCGTACATACATCCGTTGACCCAGTACGTGACTTTTGGTGCATTTCCTTGCAGGACATCGTTCAACACTGGGGATTGGGGGAGGATGTTGAGGTCATTTTGAGCTTCCGGAACACCGAAAAAAGCGTGCCAAATCCATGTATCAAAAGATGACATCGCCTCCAAAATGATATTTTTTGATCCTTTTCTATCCCCATAATCGCCTTGCCATGCACTTGGACAATTTTTCCAAGTCCAGTGCATGCAGTCAATGTTTCCAATCATCCCTGAAAAACCTCGCATCTCGCCCTTCTTCAGAAGCTTTTCCAAGTCCATATTAGTAGGTGTCCGGAGGTACTCTGCGGTGTAGATAGATTCGATTGCTAAGGAAAATCTCATCAGAGACTTAAGAATGCACTAAAAAAAAAGGCCCTTTGCGACAGATAACATGGCCGTTGTAAATAAAAGAAAATTTTAGCGCTAAATGTTAGCTCAAAAGTATTCCCGACTCTTGTACAAGTAACGTCACAAATAATGTCGTAAATAACAATATAAGCGACGCTAAGTAAAATTTGTGACATCCTAAAGGACAAAATAAAATTTAGCGCCTAAATTCTTTAATTTTTCAATTAGGCGCTTTATTTTCAGATGAAAACAATCCAGCGCGCCTTCAATTTCATTCTCTAGAATCATCATTCTCTTCCTGCACCTTCTCCACTTTCCTATTCAACTGAAAAATAAGAGGCCTAATATATCCAATCAGAGATTTTGGGGGAATCATCGGAAACTTTGGAGCAAAATTTGAGATCCCAGAGCACAATCGGAGATTTTGTAAGACACTACAACCATCTTCCCTCTTTTCCGATTCAGTAAGTTAAGTAATTTTTAGGGTTTTCTTTTTGAATTGATTTTTATGCTTGCTGAATCGAGTTGACGCTCAGCCATCCAAGCCTGAGCGCCATTGTTGGTGTGCAAGGCTTGGTGCGAGGCGCTGCTGTAGCTGAGGCATGTGATGATGTACATGCGGTGGAGGAAGCGGTTCAAGCACAGCCGCGGATGAGTCAGTCCGAATACGGACAAAGCGCTCGACGCGTTTCTAAGGAGTGCAGCTTCTAGGTCCCCCATGGCTATGGTGGACGCCAGGCTCATATACTGCGGAGAGGTCTCAAGGAGAAGGTCATCGCTTTGTATCAGAAAGTTGCGAAATTGGGAGATCATGCTGTGCAGTGGAATTTGAGAATTTTCTATTTGCAAGGTATTAATTTTACCAATTATCTTCTATTTTAGTATTTATAATCATGAAAATATGTGATAGAATTTGATTATTATGGAACTGAAATTTGCTAGTATAAATCTGATTGTGACTGTACTTCTTTCAATGAGTGCATAGTTCGAATATACTGAGAAGACTAGTTGTCCTTAAGTTGGGTAGAACAGCAAAATAGGGTCAATGTTAGTGTACTGCTGTTTGGATTAGGAAAATTGATTTTGAACTGTTAGAACATTTGGACCAGAAAGAAGTTCGGGGGAAATTGAATTCTCCATTTAATTAGTGCTTGGGTAGAATGCTCTTATCTTCATTGTGAAAATTTGATCAATTTTTGGTCCCAGAGTTAGATGAAATGTGTAATTTCAACTAGGTTTCCAATTCATTCAGGGTATGGTGGAGAGTTTGGTTAATCACTCTGCTTTGAGGATGTCCCTGTGTAGGTAAACACTATCATTCGTAAGCATGGCTCTGTATAGTACTGTCCAAGGTCCCAAAGATAAATTATATTCAAAACATATGAATATTCTTATATTTGGATATGTTTTTTTTTCTTGTGTTGTGGTGATGGTATTGAAGGTTGAGCTCTCATATCATTACCTTCGAGCATGAGGAAAACTGGAGTAAGGCCCTTGAGTACTATGGATTTTGGTTCCAGAAGTTTGTCAGTGGAAGAGACTCAATCAACATATCGTTTATCCACACCCATATTGGAAAATGCAATGAGGCAGAGGAAACCGTATAAAGGTTTGATTGGGTCATTGCAGCAAACTAGTTGTATGCATGATCTGGATTTGTATTGCCAAGGATTTATATGCAATGGACATGTTTGACATTCTGGTTAGCCATTTTTCTTGAAAGTTTAATTCTACAAGTACCAGTTTTTCTGATATACTTGATATACCATTTGCAATAGGAATGTCCCATATAAGTGAAGAAATCGTAATATATGTTAGTGTTTAAGTATCTAAGAAAATGTTGTGTTACCTCTTGTAAAATTCAGTTGTTTGAGGGCACTTAAAGAGGGAGATTACAATGAATTCCATGGAAAGCTGAAATATTCAAAGCAGGTGATATTAGTGTCAACTTTGTCTCCCCTACAAGTTGGACATGTATAATTTTACTTATGCTGTGTGTTCATATGTTTCAGGAGCTTCACGATCTGTTTCTAGCGTTGTGTGTTCATATGTGTCAAGAGCTTTGAAGTCCATTTCTAGCGCTGTGTGTTCATATGTGTCAGGAGCTCCGCAATTTGTATGTCACTTGTTGCAGGTTCTAGATAAAGACTACATGATGTCGTTGGTGTATAATACTATAATTGATACGACCATTCAACTGACTTTAAGTACAAGTGTAGTGTTGCTTTCATACATTGTATTATAATTTACCTAATTTATAGTTCATTACTAATAACAATTCTTATGTAGTTTATAGAAATTTACATAATTTATTTTAGTTTGGAACCTGTAGTAAATTTCACATAAAATAATTTTAGTGAAGTTGTTAAAATAATATAATTGTGGCGTCCCATTTGACGCCCAATATTTTTTTTTAAACCCGAGGCCACTTATTTGCGATGCGTTGGTAGCCGTTGCAAGCCCATAGTAAATAGTACTTGCGATATGCTCATGCGTCACATATAATAGACCAAACATTTACGACATCACTTTGTTGCGATGCGTTATTGATCGTTGTAAGCCCGTCGTAAAAGGACTATTACGACGCTTTTAGATGCTGTCGTGACGCGTTTTGATCGTCCCAAAAGGCCCATTTTTTTGTAGTGATGGTTGATTTTCCCATCCTCGCTGTCTCGTCGACTTAGTTTGCATATGTTTCATATGCAAGCATCCCCAAGGCAACAATAATTTTTTGCTCAGGTAGGAAACCCATCGCACCAAAACCATCTGGCTTTTGCACAAAGTGAGAATCATGGTTGCAAACGTCCATGATTTTGTTGAACAAATGTCATTCCATTCTAAAATGACGTCTAACGTACGTATCAGGGAATGCACTGTTACAGACAAAATAATCGTCCAAGAGATCCTGACCTTGTCGTTGCCTGCTTCTATCAATGTTTACAGCACGGCTGGGCCTGCAAATTTGACCCACAGATTGGATGACTTGACGGAAATGTGAGGCTCTTGCCATTCTTGATTCGTCGTCTCTCCGTCTACGCCCCTCATCCTCTTCCCTCTCATTTTGGGCCGCCTGACATTTGAACATTCCTTCTGATTGGTTAAACAATTATTCCTATTGCTGATTGATTTCCCATATCATCCTTGAAGAAGAAGAAGACATTGTAAGAATGAAGCAAAAACTAGGAATAATGATAGAGATTTAGGTGAATAAGGAAGCAGAAACTATGAATAATGATAGAGATCTTGAGAAAATTGGTGTGAGATTTGTGATGATGGGTGGTGGATTATATGGAGGATTCAGAAAGGATTAAGTTGTAGATAATGCCACGTGGCATGCCGTCATTCATTAAAAATCTGATGGAAATCTATCCTCAAAGATTGTAAACAGATTATGACACGTGGCGCGACATGATTGGTTAATAATCTTATCAGAAATCCATCACCAATAATTGTATTTTCAGATAATCACACGTGGCACAACGAGAACGATTAAAAATCTTATTGGAAATCCATCACCTATAATTGTCTTTTTCGGATTATGACACGTGGCGCATCGAGAACGATTAAAAATCTTAACCGAAATTACAAATAAAATTATTTTATAACTTTTCAGATTATGACACGTGGTACAACGAGAACGATTAAAAATCTTATCCGAAATTACAAATAAAATTATTTTGTATTATTTTATAAATAAAAAATATTAATATTTTATTGCTTATTGCCAGGGGGAGCGCTCCCACACTGAAGATGCAAAAGGCAGTTATTGTTCATTAAGGGCATTTACTGTTCACTGGGTGGATTAAATAGTGAATTGCTTGGGGTGCTCCCACGCTGGAACTACTCTTAAAGAAGCGAGGAGGCATGAAGGGACGCTTAAACCAAGGGTTGGTTTCAAAGATTTGGTTCCAGCTGGCAGCTTCAATTCCTTTCAAAGCTAAGTGTCCTTTTTGAACCGAATTTTCCCTTATTTCATTGTTTCTAGTTTTAACCTGTACTAGTAGAAAAACATGTTTGCGCGATGGAGCAAATTTCATTGCGCAAACAAACTTTGCGCGACGCAAAAACAAAACATCGCGCAAATAGCCTTTCCGCGACGAAGACTGGCGTCGTGCAAACAACCTTTACGTGATGCGTAAGTTCCTGCGTCGCGTAAAACAGCTTTGCGCAACGCCATCATTCGTCGTACAATGGCTGTTTGCGCGACGTTTTGTGCGTCGCGCAAGATCTTGACGCCAAACAAAGAATGCTTTACCGCTTTTTTGCCAACTTTGTGCGACGTACGTGCACTTGCGTCGTGCAAATCTGTTTTGCGCGACGCAGTGGCACCTACGTCGTGCAAAGTCTTTTTTTTTTTTTGGGGTTCTTGCGTTGCCTTTTTCTTTTGTGGTATCCACTTGTGTAAATGTTTTAACTTGATGATTGAATTAGTTCATTGTATTCATATATGGTTAAAGAGTGTAGTTGTAAAAAATCCTAAAAATCAAAGTTAAAATAATCGTTAAATTTCGTTAATAACCGTCGAAAAGTTTTCTCCCATTACTTGATCTCTGAATGTTTATTTTTTGCGATTTTTGGCGTATGCGATCTCGAAGTATATACAAACAAGTTTGACCGTTGGATCGTTGAAATTAGTTTGGTAGAATGCGTATCCCATCAAAATAATATATTCACTAACACTTAAGAATTTATTTATACTTTCATTTAGTATAATTAGTGTAAATGTTTTAAATTGACGATCGAATTAGTTCATTGTATTCATATAGGGTCAAGGAGTGTAGATGTAAAAAAAAATCAAAATCAGAGTTAAAATAACCGTTAAATCGTGATTTTTTGTTTATAATCGTCAAAAAGTTTTGTCCCGTTACTTGATATCTGAATGTTTGTTTTTTGCGATTTTTGGTGTATGCAATCTTGAAGCATATACAAACAAGTTTGACAATTGGATCGTTGAAATTAGTTTGGTACAATGTGTAACCCATCAAAACAATAGGTTCACTAACACTTAAGAGTTCATTTATACTTTCATTAAGTATAACATAAGATTTTGTGGTATCCACTAGTGTAAATGTTTTAAATAGACGATCAAATTAGTTCATTGTATTCACATAGGGTCAATGAGTGTAGATGTAAAAAATAATCAAAATCGGAGTTAAAATAACCATTAAATCGTGATTTTTTGGTTATAACCGTCGAAAAGTTTTGTCTCGTTACTTGATCTCTAAATGTTTGTTTTTTGTGTTTTTTGGCGTATGAGATCTTGAAGCATATACAAACAAGTTTGACGGTTGGATCGTTGAAATTAGTTTGGTAGAATTTGTATCACATCAAAACAATAGATTCACTAACATTTAAGAGTTTATTTATACTTTTATTAAGTATAACATAAGATTTTGTGGTATCCATTACTGTAAATGTTTTAAATTGATGATCGAATTAGTTCATTGTATTCATATAGGGTCAAGGAGTGTAGATGCAAAAAATAATCAAAATCGAAGTTAAAATAACCGTTAAATCATGATTTTTCGTTTATAACCGTAGAAATTTTTTGTCCCGTTACTTGATATCTGAATGTTTTTTTTTTGTGATTTTTGGCGTATGCGATCTCAAAATATATACAAACAAGTTTGACAGTTGGATCGTTGAAACTAGTTTCGTACAAGTTTGACGGTTGTACGTGTAACACTTAAGAAATTGAATGATATGCATATTTATTAAGTAGTTTTAAATTTATTATTGTAGTTCGGGTCGGCTTTTTGTTAGAAAAAATATATTATTGTGGGGTTTATGTAAAAAAATTGAATTTGAAGAAAGTAAAATTACATTTTTAGTAAATTTTATAATAATTTTTTTTATAAAAAAAGTACCTTGCGCGACGCCACAATGTGGTCGTTGCGCAAAAACGTTTTGTGCGACGTCAAAATGTGCACATGCGTCGCGCCACTGTTAAAATTTTGGCGGGGCAATTGTTTACAATAGGCGGTTCTTTTAAACTTTCCCAATTGTTAAAAAATAGGCCATTTGTAAAAATGTATACCTACGTCTATCTTCCCTCTCTCTCACTCGGTCTCTCTCTTCCTTCTCTCTCCCTCTCTTTCACTCGGTCTCTCTCCCCCTCTCTCACTTAGTCTCTCTCCTCATCTTCTTTCCATCCATCCCAACTACACCCAGCCAGCAGGCAGCAGCACGTTGAAGAATGACCCAGGTATCTATCTTTTCTTAATTCTTTATTTTTCTTCTTTCTAAGGTCAGAATCAGCTTTAATGCCTTAACTTGAAGATTATGGTATTGTAATTAGATTCAATCTGGAAAATTAAATTAGAAATTGGGGGTTTTAGTGTTACATCGAATTTTGGGGTCAGGAATTTTAGGGTTTTAGTGTTAAATCGAATATTATACGATTACAGGATAATTATAGTGTTTTTCTTTTTGTTTTTATTTTTATTTTCCAGTTAATGAAAGATGCCAAAAAATCAGTTGGGTTCCCACAATGTAAGGTCCCATGGAGTCAATGAGGCAAAGGTTCATATGCAGGCATCCTGCTTGTGACAGATGGTGTAAAAGGAGGCCTAAACTGTAATCCGGTGTCACTCCAATGGATTGAGTTTTGTGAACTAGCTAAACTACCCATGATAAATCACATGAACAAATCATACATGTAGTGCAAAAGTTGGTTATCTTCTTCCATTCATTCCTTCATCTACCAAAGATAAAGGTGTGAGTTCACTTTACAGAAATCTTCCACTTAGGTTTACATATTAAGGCAGTCTTATCAGATTTTAGGCAAAAGGCTGAGTCATCATGTGGTAGGTTTAGATAACTATTAGTACTATAATAAAACTCATCATTTAAGCAAGCGTAAAATTGTAATATCTGATTACTAAAAAATGGGCATGATGCTAAAGGCCTTAGTTAATGAGAAATTTGTAAATGAAATTCATGAAGCAAGATGAGAGATGTAGAAGATCATAGTAATTAAAAAAAGTCATTGAAACGATGGGAGACACATTCCATATGCCCTTGAAAGATGCCTCATTTGCATTATCCTTAAAGCCATTTTTTCATAAGCTAATTAAAAAAAAAACAGATAACTAATTGACAGGAAAAAACAACTATTACTCCAAAATCAAAGAAATGACACTTCTTGTGCTAAAAAATCAGTTGGGTTCCCACATTGTAAGGTCCCATGGATTCAAGGAGGCAAATGTTCATATACATTATTGGCTGATT